CGGTTATATAAACTATATATATATATAAATTTGAATATAAAAATAGCTTAAAATTAATTAATTTTAGTAAAAATTTAAGTGTTTTGCATCAGAGGAAATAGAATGAGCAGATGTGCATCAAGTGGTTATTCTTATACTTTATATTCAGATAAGAGTAATAAAATATTAATAGAAAATAAAAAGAAAAAAATAATAAAATAATAATATAATATAATATAATAAAAAATATATATGTGCATTAACATCTTTATTCAAGAAAATTGAATTAGGCTAATGGTGCGTGACCTTTAAAAATCGTAAACAAAACGGCCGTCTACCGAAAGAACAACGCTTAACTTTGATTTGGTAAAATCCAATTTTGGCTCAGATTTCGATCGATGGTGAAAGATGAAGTGTAATACGGAAAGAGGACTCACCTGAACTCTTTCTGAACCAGATGGAAGGAACAGAAGAAGCCAAATGCCAAACGATTGGATTCGACATCAAATGACGTCACTTAACTACCTCCCGCATCTTCCCATCCACCTTCTCTTTATCTTGGACTATACCGTTGTCGGGTCGACCACATTTTTGTTGAATTGTCGGATTTTTGAAAATTTATTCAATTTTCTTTAGGAATTTCGACAGGGACGAGTATTAATCGTTAATCATAACTTAAATATCAAGCCTTTTGTTCGTATCATCGTAATCAGATCTGTAAAGAAAGGCCAGATCTGCACTTATAACTTGTTTGAACAAAGATATGCAGCATCCCTTTTATTTACTTAGGATTGCTTCTGCAAAGTTTATTCCAATTTCTTATACAACTGCTCTTCAGTTTCGTAAAAATTGATAGCATTAAGTGATTGGTATTTTTTTTTCTTTTCTCTCAGAACATATCCTTCGAATTTACTGATGAAAAATTAATCATTTCTAGTAATTAGTTTCCGATCAAAATATTTAATTTATAAGGTTTATTTTATCCTGAAGCTATTTAAATTTTTAAAAATTTACAACGAAGATTCATAATTTTAAATTTAATTTTTTTTTTACTTTAATTTCCTTTAAAATATCCAAAAATTATGCATGTTTATTAAGAATTATTATTATTATAAATCTGTTCAAATGAAATATTTATATATTAAAATTAGATGCAGATTATGAGATAACTTTTTAATATTTAATGAACTTAAAAAAATGTATTAAAAATATGCAATTTATTTATTAAAAAAAAAACAGTTTTATTTAATTTTAATTAATTTTTTAATTATTATTTTCTTATAAGATTTCTATAAGTTAGTTGATGCAAAGATAATACAAGTGGATATCTCTAGTGGGATATTTTCATTTAATAAAACTTATTTTTATATCAACTCTTATAATTTATTTAAATTTATAACTTGTAATTTCATTTAAATATATTAAGTATGAATTTTCTATTTTATAATAATAATATTTATTAATAGTTATATGGCAAAACTTTTCATGCACCATATCATAATTTAAAGCAAAAGAAAATATGTGATTTAATTAAAAATTTTTAAAAAATTAATTAATTTTTAAGCTTAAATAATGCGTAATAAAGCTGAATATTTTAACGTATCGTTTATATTAAAGAAAATAGCATCCGAGTTCTACTNACGTTATCATAATTTAAAGCAAAAGAAAATATGTGATTTAATTAAAAATTTTTAAAAAATTAATTAATTTTTAATTTATTAATTAAAATAAGATTTATTTACCGATAAATAAAATAAGTATTTAAAAATTAATTTATTAATTAAAATTGCTCTTCGATACGTTATTATTATTATTATTATTATTATTTAACTTTTAAACGTCAAAATTTAAATAATTATTTTATATTTTTAAATTTTTATCAGAAGTTTTTAATCCTTCATCTCGTGATTAAATCACTTGTTTTATTTATGAAATCTGAATAGAGTTTGTTTAAATCTCTTTGATGTATTTAATATAAAAGCCATATGTTCTCTTTCGGATACATCTTGATTAGTGTCATGGAGTTGTCCGTCTAGTGTTAATGATTAGTTTTATTGATCAAATTTTGGCAAACCTCGAACTCGTTTTATTCTATTTCGCACAGAAAATATATTAATTGATTTTTTTTTACATCCCTATCCTCCCCATCCTCTAACTTCCTTTTCCATCCTCCAACCTCCATTCTACATTAATTGTTTAAAGAAGTTCTTCAAAACTGAATAAAGAGTTTATTTTTATGCAGAAATTTAATAGCACACTGTTATGCTAATTTTTATTTATTTATATTTACTAATTAGAATTTAAAAATACATAATGAATTCATTTAATACAAGCAGGAGCGTATGCATTATGTTGTAGATGTTGTAAACAACATTGATTCGATAGAGCCTATATAATTTTAAAAATTAAATTTTTGCTTATATAATATTAAAAATAATAATTATTATTATCATTCGAATTTCAATACTTTTATTAAATTCTGAATATGCAATTTAAAAATTATACCTTTCAGTGGAATTTAAGATTTATGTTATAAACATATATATATATACATAGGCTATTACTGCAATATTTAAATATAAACTATTTAAATATTTAAATAATAAACTATTATTTTTAATATTATATAAACTCATATTTAATTCAAACATTTAGTCCAATATAGTTCTCTATTATAAATTAATTAAAATTTATAACATATTAAAACATACGATAAAAAAAAGTAATAAAGACATTTTATAATTTATATATTGTGTACATAAGCAGAGTATTTTTCAAAGAGAGCAAACACTAATGCCAAACCTTACCTAATCTAACCTAACTTAACCTAAACTAACCTAACCCAACATACCCAGCCCGACCATAACTTAACCTAACCAAACCCAAACCTAACCTAACCAAACACAACCCAACCATAACCCAACCTAACACAACCACAACCATAACCATAACCCAACCTAACCCAACCCAACCAAACCTAACATAACCTAACACAACCCAACCATAACCCAACCTAACCCAACCCCACCAAACACAACTCAACCATAGCCCAACCAAACCCAACCCAACATAACCCAACCCAACCCAACCCAACATAACCTAACATAACCTAACCTAAACCCAACCCCACCTAACACAACCCAACCATAACCCAACCTAACCCAACCCCACCCAACCCAAC